TGTAGCTCGATTACCTAGCGCGCATCTTCCAACTGATCCCACTTGGACAATTCCGGTTTTTTCTGCTTAGCTTTCTCACTACTTCATTAGGGAACGCTTTCCTCCATGAGGGAGACTTGGAAAGGTCGCTCTCCTACGCGCACCCTTTTAGTTTCCTCCTGGCTTCCATAGTATAGTGGCTCCGTCCCAGTTCTTTAGGAGAAGTTCTAGAAACTTTTTTTGCAGTCCCGTCCTGAGGCTAACAGGTTCGTACTTCCTATTCAATATTCCCTTATTGGTGCGCCCTCCCCATTACACCCAAGCACCCTTCGTAAGTCAGAGCAAGGGGTGCATTAGTAGGGAAAGCTCAATGGGTATGGGGTCTCCGCCTATTCGATTGTCGGGCGCTATTTACCCTTTACTGCCCCAGCAATTGAGCCGGTCTGAACCGATTTTTTTCGGTCCCGCGTAAACAGATTTGGCTCAAATGTTGTCTCCTGGGGTATTTCTGACCTCCTGAATCTGAATATGACATTCACATAGCCCGAAACCTCCTGGCGCCTGCGCCACAGGCGCCGGTGATCTGAGCTATTTGTTGGCGCAGCACCTGTAGCGCGGGCGGCAGGAGGTTTTGCGCCGAGCGGATGTGATATTCGTGATCAGGAGTCAAACCACCCCTGGAAGCAAGTTTTCAGCGAGTTTGGTGATTTCGACTATTTTGGCGCCCGGCGCCTCCCGTGGCGCGGGCGCCGGGAGTTTGGTGTTAAGCGGATGCGATATTCGTGTTCAGCGAGTCGAACTACCCCTGGAGCCAAGTTTTCAGCAAATTCTGCCCACGGAGAAAAAAGTCGGTCAGGAACTGGCCTGATTTCGGATGACTGGGGCAGTAAAGGGTAAATAGTGCCGATTGTCGTATTATGTGTCTTTAAGGGCAACCCGTGGCTGAGGGTGAATATTTATCATCTGTTACCGACATCAAATTAAACGACGAGTTTATCTGTGCGGTGATGGAAGGCAAGGCTAGGCTTCATCGGGTGGGTTCCACTTCATTGATTTCAAATTCTGAACTTAATCTCTGCATAGGTACTAGTCGATATGATCAATAACCGTTCCTTTTAATCAATAATCTAGAAGTGCCCTTTACAGATCCTCAACTCCGAGTCAGGACCCGCGATGACTTTCCCGGAACCGGCGAGAAATTCTCGACTACTTGCAGCAGCGCTTTCAAATCACTTTCTTGTCTTTCAGTACAGAGGTGAGCCTCTGCATCTTATTAGACCTTGGAAGGACAAGTTATTGAGTGAACTTAACTGCCAAGTCAACTACTCTAGCTTGGTCTTCTCTCGTTGAAGAATGGTGGTTGTTGAGTGATATATCGCATACAAACCGCCATATCGACAGACTTTGCCCACACAGATCAGGAGGGACTGCGGGTCGCCATTTTTGACGAAAGGGCTCAAACATGGGTTTATAGGTAAGTTCAGCTGCGAGCTTTCAGAGGGAATGGAATGGACCTATTTTCTTCTTTTTTAGTCCTGTGGACGACTCTATGCACAAGTTACCGGCTGTCGGTTCTGCTATACATGTGAGTTTTTCTTTGGGAAAATGTCGGGGGAGGGGGTGTTATTCATGCAGCAGGAGCTATTCAGTCACCTCCCAGACTCTACATGTTCAAGAGACCAGTCTATGATCACTAGCTCTGTTAATTCACTTTCGCGATGGCCCGATGGGCGGGGACCCGCAACTATTCTGTTTTACATGATGCTCCCTTGTTCTGATACGGTAGCCTGAATCTAGTGGCTCGCCAAGTGAGACGGGCACTATAATTATGAGTCTCCGCCCACTCCATTACCGCGGAATGTTTCTGGAACCCGAATTAAGAGTTTCTGCCATGGGTTCGAAGGGCAGTACCCATCGTGGCACCTATCTGTCACCGGTTTCCCGAAGGCTGTTGCGACTTTCTAGATAACGTTTTCGTGATCGGGTAACAGCGCACTACGCGGTAGGGCTCCTGTCCCCCCCACGTTACTTTTATCGAGTTACTTTTGCAGTACAAAGCGGCACTGTGGGAAACATTCACTATCGACCGAGACACATTTGTTGTCTACGACAACTCCAACATCTACGTCTACTTGCTGAATCGAAGCCCTATAGAAGGTTGGCATCTGTTTGTCTGTGTTTACGCCTTTGTTTTATCCAGGTTGTGTTTTGGTATAGGCCGCGGGGCGAATGCTCGGCGGTCACGCCACAAACTCTAATCGATAATCAGAAAGTCCATTTCAGATGAGTCCGTAATTTACGTTGGCAGTACCAAGCTCCCTTACGCTCACGCACCGCTTATGCTTAGCAAGGTATATGGGACTGAACTGCTCAAATTTCCAAATACTATTGTTTTGCCATCCTGTTTAGGGCATCGGGTGCACTGCAATCACATCAATCAGGCAAAAACTAGTGAGTCCTACTGGCGTAGCCACATGAACTGACACCCCGCGTCACTGAGAAGGGAAGTCTCAGGCCGTGGTAAGGCAATAATTCATTTCTAAGCTTTGTTGAGGACTTCTAAAGTGAAGAAATTCCCCACATGAACGCAAGAAATCAAGAATAGGCGAGATGTTGAGTAGCACGCTCGAAAGGCAAGTTGTGCGTCTAGAGTAAGGTTCTTATTGTAGTAGTAAATGACCTATTATCTGCGTCAAACCCAACTTTTGGGATTAAGCAAGAGGACAAGAAGACGAAACATGGACATAACAATAGCACGAACGGATCGAAGTCAGCTGAGACCAGGAAATCAATTCTAACATTCATATTTATACCGAAAAATACCTAACAAATCAATAATTCTCAAAGCACTTTGGAACATAGCACTAAGAATTAAAATGTACTCAACGAAGGAACACGTACAGTACCACGAAATAGAAGAAACGGAAAAGGAAGTCGTGACTGTGGGGCAGTCAGGTAGGACTGAAAGGAGTCGATCGTTGCCAGTAAGAAAGGTCGTCATCATTGATCGAGATCACAGGCGTACCAAATCTTCTCAGCAGGCACGCTTTGGCGTTGCGAACAATTTTGTTTATCGATCCCCTTCCAGCTGACAATTTTGCCTAATAAGAATTCGCCCGCGAATCTTCCCCTAGAGTTCGTCGTTGGAGCACAGCGCGGGGGAGGGGAACCAAGGTGAGTACCTCCGGTTTGGATTCAGAAATGATCAATTTAGCTCAGCAGAAATAGCGAGATCGGTTAGGAGGAGGGGAGTTTGAAGCCCATAGCGCGTGTGAAACGGATAAACCAGCTGCCATCGGCAAATTCCTTCTGTTTCCGAGTAAAGATAGCGGAAAAGCGAAGGGCACATCAACGGCGTCGTTCTGGTGTTCTCTGAAAGGATATCAATTCCAGGAGGGATCGCATTTGTAGAATTTCGTTTTTTGAGTACATGTTCGGTTTTATTTCAGGTACGTGATCTTCTGAAACAAGCCCTGCAACTGAAAAGGTAAGTGATTTTATGGGCCGAATGGTCCATTTATATGGGAGGTATATTATTATTATTATTCGATTCCTGATATGCTGATGAGAAGTCTAGAGCTTCCAAAAACTTTATTTGACCTTTTTTACAGTTTTTATTAGCTTGACTGGTATCACAATGGTCCTTCCAACTAGACATGTTTGCTCTTTTGCCCATTTTAATGCCATTGGATACCAGTCATCTATAAAACTGTCCAAAAAGGTGCAAATAAGTTTTTGGAAGCTCTAGACTTCTCATCAGCATATCAGGAATCGAATAATAATAATAATATACCTCCCATATAAATGGACCATTCGGCCCATAAAATCACTTACCTTTTTCAGTTGCAGGGCTTGTTTCAGAAGATCACGTACCTGAAATAAAACCGAACATGTACTCAAAAAAACGAAATTCTACAAATGGCGATCCCCTGGAATTGATATCCTTTCAGAGAACACCAGAACGACGCCGTTGATGTGCCCCTTCGCTTTTCCGCTATCTTTACTCGGAAACAGAAGGAATTTGCCGATGGCAGCTGGTTTATCCGTTTCACACGCGCTATGGGCTTCAAACTCCCCTCCTCCTAACCGATCTCGCTATTTCTGCTGAGCTAAATTGATCATTTCTGAATCCAAATCGGAGGTACTCACCTTGTCCCCTCCCCCGCTGATGCTCAACGACGAATCTAGGGGAAGCATTTCGGGATCTTATTAAGCCAAAATTGCAGGGGAAGGGGATCGTATTAAACAAATATTGTTCGCACGCAAGCGTGCCGTACCTGAGAAGGATTGATAGTTATGATCTCGATCAATGATGACGACCTTTCTTACTGGCAACGATCGACTCCTTTCAGTCCTACCTGACTGCCCCACAGTCACGACTTCCTTTTCCGTTTCTTCTATTTCGTGGTACTGTACGTGTTCCTTCGTTTGAGTACATTTTAATTCTTAGTGCTATGTTCCAAAGTGCTTTGAGAATTATTGATTTGTTAGGTATTTTTCGGTATAAATATGAATGTTAGAATTGATTTCCTCTGTCAGCTGACTTCGATCCGTTCGTGCTATTGTTATGTCCATTTTTCGTCTTCTTGTCCTCTTGCCTTAATCCCAAAAGTTGGGTTAGACGTAGATAATAGTCATTTACTACTACAATAAGAACCTAAATCTAGACGCACAACTTCTTGCTGAGGTAGCTGACTCAGATCTCGCCTATTCTCTGATTTTGCTTGGTTTCATGTGGGGAATTCTTCAACTAGAAGTTCCTCGAACAACAGCTAGAAATGAATTAGTGCTTACCACAGCCTGAGACTTCCCTTCCAGTACGGTGTCAGTTCTGTGGCTATCGAGTAGGACTCCACTAGTTTTGCCTGATGATGTGAGGCAGTGCACGATGCCCTAAACAGGATGGCAAAACAATAGTATTTGGAAATTTGAGCAGTTCAGTCCCATATACCTTGCTAAGCATAAGCGGTGCGTGAGCGTAAGGGAGCTTGGTACTGCCAACGTAAATTACGGACTCATCTGAAATGGACTTTCTGATTATCGATTAGAGTTTGTGGCGTGACCCGCGACGCATCCGCCCGCGCTATACTTAAAAACAATCCTGGATAACAACAAAGGCGTAAACCAGAACAGAACCGAATGGCCAACCTTCTATAGGGCTTCGATTCAGCAAATAGACGTAGATGTTGGAGTTGTCGTAGACAACAAATGTGTCTCGGTCGATAGTGAATGTTTCCCACAGTGCCGCTTTGTACTGCAAAAGTAACTCGATAAAAGTAACGTGGGGGGACAGGAGCCCTACCGCGTAGTGCGCTGTTACCCGATCACGAAAACATTATCTAGAAAGCCACAACAGCCTTCGGGAAACCGGTGACAGATAGGTGCCATGATGGGTACTGCCCTTCAAACCCATGCAGAAACTCTTAATTCGGGGTTCCAGAAACGTCCGGTAGATGACGTGGGCGGAGACTACATAATTATAGTGCCGTCTCACTGGCGAGCCACTAAGATTCGGCCTTACCGTATCAGAACAAGGGAGCATCATGTAAAACAGAATAGTTGTGGGTCCCCGCCCATCGGGCCATCGCGAAAGTGAATTAACAGAGCTAGTGATCATAGATTGGTCTCTTGAAAATGGTAGAGTCTGGGAGGTGACTAAATAGCTCCTGCTGCATGAATAACACCCCCCCCCCGACATTTTCCCAAAGAAAAACTCACATGTATAGCAGAACCGACAGCCGGTAACTTGTGCATAGAGTCGTCCACAGGACTAAAAAAGAAGAAAATAGGTCCATTCCATTCCCTCTGAAAGCTCGCAGCTGAACTTACCTATAAACCCATGTTTGAGCCCTTTCGTCAAAAATGGCGACCCGCAGTCCCTCCTGATCGGGGCAAAGCTGTCGTATGGCAGTTGTATGCCGATATTCCACTCACCACCCACATTCTTCCAGCGAGAAGAAGACCAAGTAGTTGGACTGGCAGTTTAAGTTCACTCAGTAACTGCCTTCCAAGGCTCTAATAAGATGCAGAGGCTCACCTCTGTACTGAAGACAAGAAAGTGATTTGAAAGCGCTGCCGCAAGTAGTCGAGAATTCCTTGCCGGTTCCGGGAAAGTCATGGCGGGTCCTGACTCGGAGTTGAGGATCTGTAAAGGGCACCTTCTAGATTATGATTAAAAGGACCGGTTATTGATCATATCGATTAGTACCTATGCAGAGATTAAGTTCAGAATTTGAAATCAATGAAGTGGAACCCACCCGATGAAGCCTAGCCTTGCCTTCCATCACCGCACAGATAAACTCGTCGTTTAATTTGATGTCGGTAACAGATGATAAATATTCACCCTCAGCCACGGGTTGCCCTTAAAAAACACATATATGAACATCGCACTATTTACCTTTATGCCCGGCAGCCATCCGAAATCAGGCCAGTTCCTGATCGACTTTTTTCTCCGTGGGCAGAATTTGCTGAAAACTTGGCTCCAGGGGTAGTTCGACTCGCTGAACACGAATATCGCATCCGCTTAACCAGAAACCTCCTGGCGCCCGCGCCACGGGCGCCGGCGCCAAAATAGTCGAAATCACCAAACTCGCTGAAAACTTGCTTCCAGGGGTGGTTTGACTCCCTGATCACGAATATCACATCCGCTCGGCGCAAAACCTCCTGCCGCCCGCGCTACAGGGTGCTGCGCCTAAAGTAGTTCAGATTCATCGGCGCCTGTGGCGGCAGGCGCCCAGGAGTTCGGGCTAGTGTGAAATGTCTATATTCAGATTCAGGAGGTCAGAATACCCAGGGTCAACATTCGGCAAATCTTTTACGGAGAAAAAAATGGGGGGGGGGGCGGTCAGACCGGGCTCAATTGCTGGGGCAGTAACGGTAAATAGCGGCCGACAATCGAATGGCTGAGACCGGCATTTTACCGCCATTGAGCTTTCCCTACTAATGCACCCCTTGCTCTGACTTACGAAGGGTGCTTGGGTGTAATGGGGAGGGCGCACCAATAAGGGAATATTGAATAGGAAGTACGAATCTGTTTAGCTCAACGGGAGCGAAAAAAAGTTTCTAGAACTTCTCCTGAAGAACTGGGACGGAGCCACTATACTATGGAAGCCAGGAGGAAACTAAAAGGGTGCGCGTAGGAGAGCGACCTTTCCAAGTCTCCCTCATGGAGGAAAGCGTTCCCTAATGAAGTAGTGAGAAAGCTAAGCAGAAAAAACCGGAATTGTCCAAGTGGGATCAGTTGGAAGATGCGCGCTAGGTAATCGAGCTACAGGATGCATAGCTAAACAGCTAAGTGAGCATGACATATCCTAATGCTGGTTCAGGGCGCCGTTCGGTTGGGAGGGGCATTTTTCACATTCACTAGTTCCTTTAGCTAGTTCTGCTATTTCTTTTTACTAGTTTGTGTCAATAGGCTGGTCACACTTCGGAGAGACAGGTAGGCTTCTGTGAAATGCGAAATGGTATGCATGAGGCACCTTGGTCACAGGAGTGCACAGGTCTTCACAAGAGGTTAGCTCCATTAGGTCCTGTTTGATGCTCCCACCAAGCCGAACTGCGCCCTGACTCGTTAGCGTTAGTTCTGTACTCAGCATTAGCCCTTGGAAAGGCCTGCACGTCGCGCTAGGGTTGGACGGGCAGAGCATTTTGCACTTCTTTATTTTGCCATGGGTGTCCACAGGACTTGACAGGTTTGACAGGTGGTCTCTACAGACTTTGGCTGGTGACGTTCCGTAGCTTCAAAAGATTTTACAGGCCTCCACTTGATAGCTCAACACGTCGATGGGAAGTAGTGAAAGTGCAAAATGTCCCCTCTAAGTCAAACTG